ACACCATTATGGCAGACTATACACATTCCCATTACCTACAACATTACAGCCGATTTGATAAAATTTACACATTCACATTACCTACACCATTATGGCAGACTATACACATTCCCATTACCTACAACATTACAGCTGATTTGATAAAATTTACACATTCACATTACCTACAACATTATGGCTGATTTGAAATAACTTACAACACCTTCCCATTATTTACAAAATTATGGCAGATTTGAAACAAGTTACACATTCACATTACCTACAACATTATGGCAGACTATATAACAATTATTCCCATTACCTACAACATTATGGCTGATTTAAAACAATTTACATTATGTAACATCTGTAGACTATTAACATTAACAGTATAATAAGAACAATTTAGTGGTTTTAGTGAGTTTCTTCAGATTGTAACTACAAACATTCCACCACTGATTAGACTCTATAGGCAAATGAAGCTGAAAATGACACCATTACAGCTAAGTAATCACATTCATATTATGTAACATCTGTAGACTATTAACATTAACAGTATAATAAGAACAATTTAGTGAAGTTTTAGTGAGTTTTTCAGATTGTAACTTCAAACATTCCACCACTGATTAGACTCTATAAGCAAATGAAGCTGAAAATTACACCATTACAGCTAAGTAATCATAAAACTGTAAAAAGTTTTTATTCTACATATTACCTCAGTTTTCTCCATTGTCCTATCACAGTTCTCTTCTGGCTCCTATTTTGTTACACCAAACTTCAAAGTGGTATGTGAAGATCTTTCTTCTAAAAAACCAGCTTCTCCCATTGCTAGAAGTAAAAATAATGTATCTTTGTCTCTAATATAACTTATACTTTCTAAACCATATTCAAAGTTCATACAATTTATTTAGCTTAACAGCCTTCTTATATAATTTCTTTTGTGAAATAAAAGTACAGTGATATCTACCAGTAAAGTATCAATTACCAGCAAAGTGCTGGATTTAATTTTCTTTTTTATAGGTAAAAAAAATGTTTTAACACTAGAGTAAGGTTTGAAATTATGACTTCATAAGATTTTAATTACTTACTTTAAAATTTAATAGTGTTCATGGTTAAAACTCACAGCATTTAGTTCTAATCTAAAATGTTTAGAAATTCACTTTTCAATTATCTTTTGTTTTTAATTTTACAAAAAAAGGAAATTTCTCAGCATTCAAATGCACAAAACTCAAACTTTATATTTTATTTCTCTATTTCACACTGTTCAGTATTAGTTCATTAGTAATGATAACGTTATTAATTTCTTACCTGTAAGATAACTGTACAAAAGGTTACTTTCAAAAAGGGTAAGTGTTGTACTTTGACCAAGTCAGACTCAGTTTGAGTTGATAAAAAGTACTTTAATAGAAAGGGCTAATGGGTCAATGCTTTAGGACAGTTAGTAAAATACTTGCTGGGCACTTCAAAGGTTTCAGGTGTAGCCTCACCACGAATGGAGGTATAGAATAGGATTACAATAGTTTCAGGTTTCTATGTCAAAAACCAAAATAAGCAAGACTCCTACCTAATAAAAATAAATATTACTCGTAATGTAACTATATTTGTAATTTATATGTTTTGTCTTCTTCCAAACATAAATGCTTGAAATAGTTTGAGTGTTACCTGTGTTACTTAATTTTAATTACTATGCCTGAATTTTCCATCATTGATTGCAAATTTCTTATTTTATATTGTGATTTGGTTTCCTGTTTCTGAGACGTATATTAGTACCAGTACTACTACGAATAATACATACGCACTTACAACTTGTAATGTAAAACTTTCTTCATTTTTCATCAATTTGATATCAGATGATGAAACCTGCTCCTTTTCAGAAAATATTTCAACCTTCATGTTTAATTAGTTCATGATTCCATCAAACTTCACGTTAATATTATTGACTAAAAGCTTGCATTGAAGACACACAAGTTAGCAATTGAACCCTACGTACTTGAAAAAAGGTTACAAAGTCCTTAATAAATACTAATTTCAAAATTCACATGAGCTTAATAACTTTCTTATCATTTCATAAGCTTCAAGTCTTTACACTAAAAGTATTGCGTATTTTTTATCTAGGATTAAATGATTATGAAATAATATGCCCATTAGTAGTAAGAGACCAAAACAATCTTTACAAATGTATTCATGTTGTTTCCACACGTAGGTAAGGGGTTCAATGAGAATACTGCAGATAGAGGATGTGATGCACTCCTATTGGTCAAATGATGATTACATCACAGATTTGTGCAGATCATATAAGTGCAAAAACATTTCAGCAGTGGCATGGGGTAATAGCTGTTTATCCTGCAGGAAGCCTTTCTGAAGAGCTTGTTGCAAGCACGAATATTTTTGTATTTACTAAATTATTTATTATTTAAAGAAAGTCCCCTAGCAGTTTTTGAGGATACGATAAAGATTATGGTATTCTCAAGTGTAACTGATTTCCACATGAATGTGTTACGTCTCCGTTCGTTAGTTAATTTTCCGTAAATTCGTTCCGACGAAACTTTAGCGACACAAGTCCTTTCTTAAATAAAACTGGTTTATTCTTTCTGAATATAACTTTGCGATACACTTAATTTCAACAGTCGCGCTATATCAAACGTCTCACGTGCTCGAGTTCAATTACATACTCTCTGACTGCAGTTCAATTACTCATTACCTCGTCACGTTGTGATCATCTTATATATACCAGGCTACCCCCAATCTAGTATTCTCCCGATAGTTCAGGAAGATTCGAGAGAAGGACGTGGCGTGATACTAGTAACGTGACCTCGCTGACGCATCACTGCCCCCTCCTTAGTACTGTTCGTCCCGAACAATAGCCACTTACATTAAACCAATAATAATTAACAATAACTTAATTAACTGCACAGAATTACAAACACAAAACTACAATTCAACAAAGTCTCTTAATTTTACAGGACGTATCTTCTTCCATACTAGTCTCCGTCTCGTTGGCTTCTGCTTCATATGGGTTCATCTACTTCATCAGGAAATGTTCTATCGTCAATAACAGTCACATCAGTGTTAGTAACTTCATCAAGAGCTTCACCGTTTCCCTTCTCAAAACTGAGTAGAGTTTCTTCTTCGATGGTGGCACGTCTTCAGCAGCGTCATTTGTTCTGTTGTCCACTTCGTCCTAACTGAAATGTCCTGGACCGTGATAACGCCAAAGCCTGTTGGCATGCACCACTTTTGGCTTACCTCGCCGACCACATTTTACAGGAAAGTCACGTCTGAGAGGCGATCCACTATGTCATATGGGCTTTCCCATGGAGAAGACAACTTAGGAGATTTCCCTTTGATCTTCCTGGGATTATACAACCATACCTTGTCTCCTGGTGCAAAGCTGACTTCAGTAGATCTCTTATCATATTATAGCTTCATCGAATCAGCAGACGTTTTC